GTTGCGCAAGAATGGTACAAGAGTAGAATGGAGAGAGAATGAACCTTATGAGCAGCCGGGGAAGGCAGATCCTAACAAAAACTGGGATAATCTCTATCAAAATTACAATAGCATACGTAAAAATCTTAGCATCCAACGATGGCTGCAAAGCCAAAAAAGACCAAAGATCACCCGCCCTGATGACATCTTAACCCATTTTACGTATACCAGCTTTACAGAGGAGTTCAGCCGGCGTTTTCATCAACTATATGACAAACACTTTAAAGATACGCCCCTACAATACGCAAAACCTATCTATGCTTTCCGTCTCGCACCTTCACCAACGGAATATCTAGTAAAGAAAAGACCACCTAAAGAAATTATCAATGTAACACTGAAAAATTAAGAAAAACGAGTTACATTTTTCCGGTGTAACCAACAGGACTTAATATACAGTTTTTGTAAGGAAAACTAAAGATTAAAGAATAAGGGGCCAATGCTGAAAATAAGACAAAATAGAGAGCTTTCGGCAATCGCCATCTTATTTTTTACCTTTTAGAAAATGAAGATCCTCCCGCACGAATCACTTAGAATACAACAGGTAGTTCTATGGGCGAAATCGACGGAATAAATCCATCACCTACCACAATAGCTATTAATCAAAAGATAGGGCATCGTAAAACACTAAATAATAGAGATAACAACTCACCAGTCTTGCCGAAATTTGACTTGGCATTCAACTTGGCGTTAGATTAAACAACAGTTGATGGGAGCGAAGAAAGTAGCGAAGAAGGAATTGTAAGCAGGGAATGGTTGAAAGAGAATGATGAGCAATACGCGGAAGCAAACGCGACATGCCAAGAACAGGGAATGATTCAAGAGAGAGTTATACCTACGCGGACTATTAAGACCTATAGTCCGCACAATATATTCTCCGCGCTTTACTTCTCATTAATCCCAGTTTTCATAGTATGATCACAGACTCAAAGACATTCGTCTATTATTGCACTTTCTTTTTTTTATTGTCATATTCGCAAGTAGAATCTACATTATTTATTATCATCTTACATTATTATTTTATCTAGAGGTTTGCTCGCCTACTTGCATGAATGGTGGAACGTGTACAGTTGGTCTCTGTGGACCAACAAATCCAAACTATTGTACCTGTAATTCTATTGGACAGGAAGTTATTATCAAACGAGTACGTAGATAGTCGTTTTCCTTACGAAAACACATGTACTGAAGAAAATCAATGATTTTCTCCATTTTTAGCTGTATGTTCACCGGCTTGCATCAACGCTGGTACTTGTACAGCTAGTGCCAGTGGTTATAACTATCCAAATTATTGTACGTGCAACTCCTATTGGACACTTGTGGTGGCAGTTACTGTCAAACACGTATATTTTACGTTTTTAACTCGCTGCATCTTATTGTTTTGGGATAGAAGTCGGCGACGTTTGTCATTGTAAAAATAACAACAGAAGTTATATCTTGGTTCTTTTAGTGAATTATTTAGTTGTATATCCATCAACTGCAATTATGTCCGCGAAATTAAGCTCCGGTCTAAGAAACCGAGTACTCGCAATCAAAGATATTACCTTCTATCAGGTTCTCTGGGTAGCGTAAATTGATCAAGAAACTATCTAGTTCGACTAGAAAAATAGGAAAGCAAACATATGAATTTTAACTACCGATGAGACGGGTGTTTTCATTCGATTGCCGTTTACTAGTAGACTTTAGGCATTCAAGTGATTGCAAAAGTTTTAGTGAAACACTTATCTCATCGATTTTTCAGTAGGTTTAAGAAAATTCATTCTCATAACAGGGCTCTTATTGACATCATAAGAAATATTTATTACACGGTACAGCATCTAGCGTATTTTATATAATGAAACTCAACGAAATTAAACTATTTCTTCAGCGAAAAATTTAAAAATCGCCAAATATGAGAAATAATAATTCATTATTTTTACAAACGAGTCCATAATAGGATAAAAATGATGGACCTCTACCCCAGAACAATATGATGCAGTGGGCTAAAAACACATAACATACGTGTTGAAAGTACGTTCCAGTCCAATAGGAGTTGCACGTACAATAATTTGGATAGTTATAACCACTGGTACTAGCTGTACTTCTACCAGCGTTGATGCAAGAAAATAGGAATTTGTATCAGAAATACGAACAAGCGATGCGTGAGAAATTGGACTAATACAACCTTTAAATTTGTTGTTGTTTTTAAATTTGTTAAAACTTGTTGCGTCTCGCAATCTAAATTCAATCAATAACAGACTATTATGACGTTGCCTCAAAAAAGCATTCTAGATGCTTCTGTTTTTACACCAAATAAATATTTATTATTTTGCTTCTCATTTCGATAGACTCCATTTTTTGCAAATCTACCCAGTTTTTCTGATTAGAACGTGAAATCAAGCTTAATTTCCCAGTATTGTCAAACAGTGTCCCAATCAGCTTCTAAAAAGACAACATTAATTCTTCTTTCGTTTTGGAAAACACACTACTACATGAACAGCACAACTCCACAATTAGCTATGAGTAATCCATCACCACTCTCCACTACAACTGCTTCACATCTACAAAGTAGCTCACATCAGAAGCCCATTTTGGCTCAACAACGTCGACATCTAAAAAGTAACATCATCATTTAGCTTGTCTCAAATATCATGTCAAGAAAGGAGAACACAGATGCAACAACTTTCCTTCGTCGCGCAGTCAATCAGCTCTACATTTTTGATGACAAGCAAGAGTGCATCGATTACATATCATCAATCGAGACAGAGAAGATCTACTTCATTGTCTCTGGCTCATAACAACTGAAAAGTGAACAACAGCGCTTCTTCGATTCTCTCAACAGAAACGAGCCACATGTGTATGTGTATCGAGGACAAGTGATGTCCACTGAAGAGCTGACTCGAATGAAAGAGAGTGTGCATGAGTATCTGTCAATGAACTCGTTTCTGTCCACATCTCGAAGCAAGTCAGTGGCATTGAACTTCGCCAAGACAGTGGAAGCAACAGTAGATCTTCATCGAGTAATATTTCGAATCAAAGTCGATACTCGTCTGAAGACAAAGCCGTACTGTGATATCTCTCACTTGAGTTATTTCAACCATGCAGAGCAAAAAGTGTTGATTATGCTCGGCGCGATCTTTCGCATTGATGAAGTGAGATTTGATGATGAGAAAGAAGTGTGGGTGATCAAGCTGGCAATGTGTAGTGAGAATGAGAATGGCTGAGAGATGAGTTTGATTATTATCGACAACAAATGGGAGAATATATTAGTCTTCTGCAATTGGGAGAGCTGATGTGTAGAATGGGTGAATATGATAAAGCTACAGTGTTTTTCAACAGATATTTGAAAGAACATCCAAACAGCAGTACCAGCTATACTGGACTTGGAAATGTTGCTCTAGATAGAGGATAGATCGATGTGGCACTTGAATATTATTCGAAAGCACTTGAGATGCATCTCAAAATACTCTCTTCTCACCATCCAGACATGGCCACAGACTACGCGAATCTCGGCGTTGCATATCGACAGAAAGATTTGTACGATAAAGCACTTGAATATTATGAGAAGGCACTCAAGATTAATCTCGAGGCATATGGAGAAGAACATGCTGATGTTGCCCTTGTTTGTCAGAGCATGGGTGTTGCATATTATGGGAAACAAGAGTATGAGATGGCTTTGCAGTATTATGAGAAATGTCTTTGTATACAAGAAAAGGTGTTACCCAAACGTCATCCTGACACAGCATCAATTCACAGCAATACTGGTCTCACATATGACAGTCTCAACGATCATCAATCAGCTTTGGTATCTAAAGAAAAAGCGCATGCTATATTAAGAATGTTCATCTATTGCGCGATTGTTGGGTCATGAGAGTGGTAGCTTGTTCTTGAGGGTACATGTGATACTCCACGTGGTCTGATTGATTCGAAGAGAAGTCTATCCTCCTTTTATCTTTAGCTTGTCGTTAAGAATTTTTACTAGTACCTTGTTCCTTCCATCGGAGATATTGCTGAAGTTAAACAGGTTCAGATTGAAAATATTCTTTCCTAGTTAAGTCTAAATAAGTGTAGCTGAGCTTGAACTACGGCTGTGGTCAAAGAAGGATTTCTCATTTTGAATAGATGTTTAGGAAATGTTCGAATCAATCTTTTGATGAATCTTTTGATGAATCTTTATTCTCATTTGTCTACATGGTTGGTCATATCACTGCTTCACGTAAAGATGGCGACCATTAGATACCTAACAATTATTGTCCTATTCGCATTTTACCGGTTTTGTCAAAAGTAATTGAACTTTTAGTACATAGACAACTATATAAATACCTTACAACACATATACTTTGTGAGCAACTCTCCGGTCTGACTGTAGATCAGAGATGCAACCGGACCGGGCGCCGGTTACCGGTCCGGTCCGGTCGAGACTTATCAACCGGCCGGTTCAACCGGTTCCGGTCATACTGCAGGACCGGGACTGGTCAGCTTGGCTTATGTGATAGAATATGACAGAAAGAAGCATATTTAGTATTATTTTGTACTGCTCAAAGAAAGGATAATAATTGCATTCATTATTCTCTGCTTGAAAT